GTTCAGCCTTTATTGAAAGCTTGTAGTATGTTATCTATCGCTCCCCTGGAAGTGACGTAATCATAGGCACCTTTGTTAAGTACCTTAGAATGCAGTTGTTACATCAACTACACTTTACTTGTATGAAAATATCTAGATTTATTTTTGCCAAATTGAGGTCGTTGATCTTAGTCGTTATCAAACGACCTATAAAGTGTGACGTAGCTACAACATACGTGATAAGAAAAAGACAACCGGGAATAGAACCCAAAACGATTTCACAATTATCAGCCCCCCTAGACAAAACGCACTTTTTGATCGAATCGAAAATCGAATCCGTCAAAACTCCATACAAAAAAGGGGCTTTTCGACCACTTTTCGACTGGTTTGCGATTATAATTTGCACTTTGTCTAGACCCACAGCTTGCTTGTGGACGTCAACAATACAATGATTGCAAAAATACATCACAATAGATGTCGATTGCTTCTTCAACAACAAATCCACTTGTAACGTCCAAGATAACAACTTTCAACACAAAGTGATGTCAAAGAAATTAGAGAAAGAGAATAATTATTCAAGATTTAAGTTAATTTTATCTATTTCAGAAAGATAATGGATAGGGTATGGACCAGAATCTAACCAAAAAATTGAAATTTAGTTTAACTGTAGGGGAGGANTTTTATGTTTCAAAAAAAGAGGATCAATCATTAAAATAGATGACCATTTAGATTTTTTTATTTGCCGTTTTTGCTAATTTAAAAAGATCATTTAAATACATGCCGTTTTTATCCCGGTATTTGTAACAGGGACGCGCGCGATAAAGTTTTTCTGTGACAGACAAAATTCCACGCGGGCGAAGCCGCGGGCGGAAAGCTAGTTTAAAATAATTGCATATAAGCTTGCTCTTGACATCAGTGGGAATTACTTGATTTTTTTAAATATGAAGTTCTAGCTTCTCTTCTTTGTAGGGATATTTTTACCAAGTTGCTATACTGTTATAGGTTACGCACTGTGCCACTAATCTGATAAGATATCGGGCAGTCAGATAATGTTCACCCTTTATTGAAAGCTTGTAGTATGTTTGCCGGTTATCTATCGCTCCCCTGGAAGTGACGTAATCATAGGTACCTTATTTGCTAAGTACCTTAGAATGCAGTTGTTACATCAACTACGCTTAGTAATACAAGTAGTATGAAAAATTCTAGATTTATTTTTGCCAAACTGAGGGCAATGATCGATTCTAGTCGTTATCAGATGACCTAAAAAGTGTGACGTAGCCACAACCCACGCGATAAGAAAAAAGACACGACTAGGAATAGAACCCAAGACGATTCAGCTTTGTGGATGTCAACAATACTGATGATTGCAAAAATACATCACAATACATAGATGTCGATTGCTTCTTCAACAACAAATCCACTTGTAACGTCAAAGATAACAGCTTGCAACACAAAGTAATGCAAAAAAAGTAGAGAAAGAAAATAATTATTCAAGCTTTAAGTTAATTTTATCAATTTCAGAAAGATATTAATAGGATATGGACCAGAATCTGAACTAAAAATTTAAATTTAGTTTAGCAGTACAACAGCTTAATGGTTGCAGCTTTGCACAGCCAAAGGATGGAAAGATGTCTACTGCTGAACATAGGCCTCCCCCAATGCTTTCCATGTTACCCGGTTGGTAGCGGCCTGCGTTCAGCATCCATACAAGCATTAGCTTAGCTCATTACTGAAGGCAAATGGTTTCATCACGTGAAACAGAAAGTCATTATGTAAAATCTAATCTAAGGCCTACTGTTATCCGTATTAATAAAACCAATCCATTGTTACAATCCTGTCCATTGTTTTACCACATTATGACACTGTTATCCTTAGCTAACCGAACTTTTACCACACACTGTTACCCAACCTGCACTTCATTAAGGCATCTTACGTCCGTAGAACCGTTCCTACCAAGCTATATTGACCGTGTAGTCTAAAACTAGGATTGTGTCCACATACGATGGAAGCCGACTTCACTTTCACATCACTACCAAACTACCAACCTGGTGGGAGCCACAGGAGTCGGGTTCTCCCTGACACTGCTCAAACTGCCGGCATACGCCGTGTTCACGTACACAAAGTCATTGCTCTTGCTGGACACTTTGGGCAGCCTCCCTTTCTCCAGCATCGGAGGCTGCATGCTGTGCCTCCTCGGCTTATTCAAGTTGTCTATCCTCAGCTCTTGCAACGAGCTAGGATTGTGAGTCTGAGGAATTTCCTTCTTCGACATTTTTACTGATCACATGAGCATGTGCGAGCTGAGCGCTATTCCGCGACAGACTGAAGTATTATCAAGTGATAATGCAGATAGTGAAGGTGGGACTTCTGTAGATAAAATGGGTCAGCTATTGTTTTTAGATGGCTGCTGGCTTTGAGCGCCTTTCAGTGAGTAGATTGCGATAATTTGCTTGCTCTGATAAGATTGCGGGGCGTGTCGTCCACATGACAAATATTAGAAGACTATCTTATCCTTCTACTTAGTTTATTTTTACAATATTTTGGTTAGGCCGTACTCAATACCATGTGACACGGGAGATACCTTGACAATTTTATTCCATACTTATTTGTGTACACTTATATTAATTAAATTATATAATTTTGGCGTCAATCATTACAAGAGCTACTTATTACTTGTAGCTCTCCACTTTGTGACGTCCAAGATAATAACAAGGAACATAAAGTTGAAGAATGTAGAGAAAGACAATATCACACCTAGTTACGAGTATGTTTACACATTTACAACACATAAAGAAAAGAAACTTGAAATCAGGATCAAGCGAGACATTTCAACACTAAAAGAAACATATTTCTTCTAGCTACTCATAGCACCTGCTCGTTTTTGTATAGGTCCCAAAACAACGTGATTTGCGTCTCTACGAATATGTCATCAATTTGTACGTTCATGGTAAAAATTGATGACATCGTGTGTTTTAAAAGTTAATAATGCTTTACACATTTAATGAGAACTATTCGAGAACCTCTCGTCTACTACTCCAATAACAATGTTACACGATAGTTTTGTAAACAGCCGTCCATGTTGGTACCTAATTGAACAGGAGTGCATGGTCGCGGCCAAAAGCAGCGCTCGCAAGAAGCGGCGCAGCGCACGATGCGATCTGCGCCATGTATGGCGCGCCTAACGAGCCGTGCCAGGGCTGCTGCTGATGCAGTTAGGCCCTTTTCACACGTCCCGGTTGCCCGGTATCCGGTGGTGAAGAGTGTACGGGCATGGTACGTAGCTTTCACATGTTCCGGCGTAATTAATCCGGCATGCCCATACACTTCACCACCGGATCACACGACCCGGCGCCGGTTAGCCGGCAACCGGGACGTGTGGAAAGGGCCTTAAGGTGTATTCACAGTTCTAGGTACCGGGTGATATTTGTATAAGACTCCGGAGAGGCGGGCTCCTTACCTCTTTTTACTTTATTGAAATTTTAAATTTCAAAGTTACTGAAACGACGTAAACTATTGTCTATGGTGTTCCAAAAAGTAGATCATAGACCTGGAGGTTTAAAACTTGCTGCTACGAAGTATCCAGCTACGTTGTTGTTGGTCGTAGTCAAGCAGCGCCAAAAGAACACGCTCCTCCGATTTCTTACATTCAGACACTGCTGTACCTTACATATGAAGTTACTAATCCTCATCATCAGCAATTGCTGTACGGAAGCCAAGGAGCGCCGAATAACACATATTTATTTCATCCAGCCACTGCCAGTTATTTAGCTAGGTTTATTGAGCTGGGGGGCATCCTACACTACATTTCTGAGATTTAGTCGGTTCCGCTTTTCTTCGGTTCTCCAACATGGAGACCATTCAGTAGCTGTCACATTTTTGTGACCGTGAACGCCACAATAGAAATAAATGTTTAAAAAGGTCAACCCTGAACGCAAGTTCAGTCATATCCTCAGGCTCAGACCTTATTTGACTTTTACCATATCTCCGGCGTAACAACCCTACTGGCCAGCACGCGAACCATCCGCGCGGGCGCAGTTTTTGCCCCACCGGGAATGGACGCTGACGATTTGAAATATGTTAGGTCGTTATCGCGCGCAGCCTTGTTGTTTGTTAGCGTGCGCCCGCGCTGGTACGGACAAATTAGCGATTTTAGGATACATACAAAACAGCAGGCGAGAAGTTTGATTTATCAGCGCTGAATAGCACTGTGCTTAACGAATGTCACACCTTTCTTGTTGCAGTCTGGGTATATGCTATTTTTAACATGCTCTGGGGATGGATGTTTTTCGATTTCTTAGTTCCTTTTTAGGATAAATGATGGTCTTGCTCTGCTCAGAAACCAAGTAAACAAATGAATGAGTTTACTAACCGACAGATATTCAAATTGTATCTCTATGTATGATTACATTATTGTAAGGTGATTCATCGTTGATCAAACGTGTAAACTTTCATCAATATTATCTACGATAGATTATTTTGTGAGATAAAATATGTACTATCAGCGTGAAAGTAAATGTCAAGGACCTGAAAATGTCAAGTTACGTAGGAAAATTATTCGTTTTGTTTGAGATGCTGATAATACTCTCTGATCATAGGGCTTTTTACCTCATTGTAGGCTCTCTCAATTATTTTACTAGGCAGACGAACGAGCTAAGGATTTAATTTTAGTGAATCAATAACGAACGATTCATCATCATCATCATCATCATTTCAGCCACAGGACGTCCACTGCTGAACATAGGCCTCCCCCAATGACTTCCACATCGCACGGTTGGTAGCGGCCTGCATCCAGCGCCTTCCCGCTTTATCTTTATCAGGTCGTCGGTCCACCTTGTGGGTGGACGTCCCACGCTGCGTTTTCCGGCCTGGCCTCCAATCCAGAACCTTGCTGCCCCATCGGCCGTCAGTTCTGCGTACTATGTGCCCTGCCCACTGCCATTTCAGCTTGCTGATCCGTCGGGCTATGTCATACGAACTATACGAACGATTAATGGATCTAATTTCCATTTTCCCTTTTTCAGAAAATGGAGCTCCTCCACGTCATCATCAAAGCGGGTCCCTCCCCCCGCCCCCTTGCGTGGTCCCTTGAGGTTTCCCCCTCGGAGACCAACGAGGACTGGCGCCTGGTCCGCGCCTTCGGGGACCGGGACCACTGCCGGAAGCTTTGGGACCTCAGACCAGAGAGACGAAGACGGAAAGCCAGGGGCACCAAGTGGAAAAGAGCGGCCAAGAGGATCAACCGAGCTGATAAGCCAGCCTGCTCCACACAGTTTGTGAGTCAGAAGCCACTCGAGAGTGGGGAGGTGGGTTGATGATTAGTTGTTAGTTTTATACGTGAATTAGAAAATCAATATTGCATCTGTATGACTCACAGTCATTGATATTGTTGATAAATCTTTCTCAATCAATGAGTCACCAATAGCAATCATTCAATTTCGTTTGATAAAATACGAGTATGTTGATGATTTGTTACTTTGTAAGGCTCTTTCACGTTTGACTGAGTTTTAATTTTTGAGTTTTTTTATCATATCGGATTCATAGGCTTACCAGTAATACTACTCCTTGGCTGTGCGCATGACTTACCAATGAAGCTAAAATTTGAGCGACATTATAGCCGACGGTGCAAAAGGTGTCGGATTGGCCGACTCGAGAGCCGAGGAACACTGCTTCGGATCCTTGGGGAAGACCTTTGTCCAGCTGTGGACAAGGGGTTAACAGGATTTCAAACTCTCCTTTTCAAAAGTTACAATTTGACACTAGATCCCCTGTTCGCAGATGCACGTGGGCCTAGGCGAGGGCGTGGCGGCGCGGCGCGTGCGCGTGTCATTCCGCGCTGCGCACGCGGCGTCCGCGCGCCAGCAGTACTATACTGTGCGCGCGCTTACGCTGGCTGCGCGTTGTTTATGCCACGGGCACGCCGCGCACTGCAATGTTAATCATGAGGTTCGATATTTTTTCCTTATTTTTACATTATTTTATAATTCATTTATCCTTAGAGTGAAAACCTCAGGAACGCAGTTTTTCTCATATTTATGCATTTTGATCAATCTTACAGAATATAGGTTTAAGGTAGGTAAAAGTTCTGGATATAAAAGCGGGTTAAAAATTACTTTTTTTCATACTTAAAAGGTTTTCACTCTAAGGCGTCGTTATGAACTCCGTCGGGTTAGTGGGTAGGCCCTGCGTTTTTTAATGAGTAGCCACGGGGAGAGCCCAATCCATAAAACCCAATCATCACCATCGTCGTCCTCATCGGTCAGTGGGCATACCTACTGGCAAAGAATTTCCCGGCGTAAAAAAGGTTAAACTGGTTAATACTCGTATAAGATAGCCCTCATATGGTTCAAGCGCTCCCCAGTTGACACCACTGCCAAAGCCACTTGAGGCACACATTACAGGCTTGACCATAATCGCCTGCAGCGCCAAATAGTTACGCGCCCTCATTTATAAGGAAAGGCTTTCAAGCTGTCTTTCCTTGAGTCATTTAAGTATTACCACGTTATTAATTATTTCAGGGGGCCAAATGCGACTGCGAGCACGACACGTGCGGCAACCACTGCCAGCGCTGCTGCTCGGGCGGCGCGTGGAGACCGCACGCGGCGTGCGCTGCGGGCTGCGCGTGTGGCGAGCGCGGCGCGTGCGTCGACGACGCCGGCGACTTGCTGTGCGTCAACTGCACGGTGAGTTAGAGTCTTGTAATAGGGTCTTGTTGAACAGTTCCATCACTGAAGCATCACTTTCAAACCCTTGAAAAGGAGGCTGACAATAGTGACTGATGCCCGTTTTCACCATCAATCCCTAATTTTTGAGTGACCCCTATAAAAACAAAATTCCTGTTACGTGTTACCATAAGGGGTCACTTAAAAATTAAGGATTGATGGTGAAAACGGGCATGAGTTTCTTGCGCTACTTCTTCTCAGCACTGGCCCATTTATTGTCCCGAAGCAGTGGTAGGGTTAATACTGACTGGGACGTGCAAAAGTGCTTTTTAAAAGCGTATTAGCAAAAATAAATGAGTTTAATGAGTTTTTACAGAAAGTAAAGGGTTTCTGCTGAAGTGGTTTACTGACAGCAAAACTCACTGCCAATGGGGCTCATCGCTTGATGAATTTACTTGAAATACGAGTAGAGCTCACTGACAGCAAGGATCAGCTATAACTAGTGAAACAACGTGCAGTATGCCAGTGTTCTTAGTGCCAGCCGATACGTTATCACGTCGTGGTAGAATTAATACAGTGTTTTGTGTATGTTTGTTAGGAAAACCGAGCTGGACCACTGTGTGACCGCTGCCTGCCCGGTTTCTACAATATCTTGCCTGATGGACCTTGTTTGCCTTGTGACTGCGATCCTGAAGGCTCTGATGGTGAGTACCATTACCTATATTAAGTACTTAGTCATGGGTAGATAACGCTAAAATGATCCAACATAAAATATAGCTATTCCAAGCAGTACTTTACATAATATTATTTGCGAGATACATTGTAAAACCTGAGGAGTCTAAAAGGGGTTTGTCTTCTAAGAACATGTTGCTTTGTTGTCACTTCAATTACTTTTTTCCATCTGCCCACAAATAATATTTTGTCTCAACTTTCCAGGGACATGCACCTGGGACCGTAAACACTTGCGACCAACCTGCGCGTGCCACGAAGGCTTCGCGGGTGCTTCGTGCGACTCGTACGAGGACCCGACGGCTGTCTTCCCTGCGTGCCAGGAACCACCCGCCCCGGTGTGCAAGTGCGATCCCAGGGGGATTGTGGACCCTAGTCGCGTCTGTGACGATGTCTGCGAGTGCAAGGTATGAAACTTTCAAAACTATTATTACTATCCATTTACTGGGCTTTACTCAGTTTATCCTGGAAATGAAACAGAGTAAAACTAAGTACTTTTTTTTAATAGTTTTATGATATCATAAAAACATTTTGGAGAAGTTTTTTTAAATAAAATAATATATTATGACAGCTGCTCAACAGATTCCCTACAACGGGTCGGGCTTTCATAAGCAATTTCTAATGTAATTTTTCTGAACTTTCGTATAGGTAACTCGTAACACTGCGAAATAGCACATTTACAACCATACACGATGCCACAGTATGTAGCTTGATTTTTTTTTAAATAATAATAAATAAATAATAAATATCCTTGGACATTTTTACACTGCGCCGCTAGTCCCAAACTAAGCAAAGCTTGTACTATGGGTACTAGACAACGGATATAAACATACTTAAATACTTTTTTTTTTTTGTAAATACATACATATTATACATAGAAACACCCAGACCCGTCACAGAAATTAAAATTCATCATTTCAATTTCTGCCCGACCGGGAATCGAACCCGGGACCTCTCGGCATAGTAGTCCGTTATGAACCACTACACCAAACGGCCGACTTTTATGCATGACAAGGCAGGTATTTGACCACAATCGCACCTGCTGTTGTCTTTACCAATAAGTTTGTCATCGTAATTTCACCCAAAGGACGTCAACTGCTGGACAAAGGTCTCTCCCAAGGATTTCCAGAACGATCGGACCTATGAGTTTGTTACCAAATAAAAGTTTTTGTATGTATTCCGTTAGAAACCATTTTGAGTATCGTTTATATTACCCCTTCTGTCTCCCCAGTCGAACGTGGTGGGCGAGCATTGCGACGCGTGCGCGGCGGGACACTTCTGGGCGGGCCCGCGCTGCGCGCCCTGCTACTGCGCGCACGTGGCTGATGCCTGTGCGCCTGCGCATGATACGGCGGACCCGCCGAGAGATGTGAGTTTGGTTTGATACTTTTTTAAATATAAATATGATCCCGTTGACCCCCCTCATACTAAGTGTTGGGAAGCCAACAACGCACGGGAGGAGACGTGCGGGCGGCGTACGATGACTAACAACGCCTCGGGACCCACAGCGTCATCATTGGCAGCGCTCGGCTCATACACTCGCCTTGGGTTACCATTGTCGACGCACGATTACCGCGTAGTCGTAGATAATTTATTGTAATTAGGCTGGCGAGAATTACAGCACCTATTTTTATACAGTCCGCTATTTTATTTAAATACTAATATTCGTTAGGACCCTAAAAGTAAGGATGTTTTTAATATCGTTCTTAAGTTTTGGGCCGACACTGTATAGGTTTGTTGTCGACACGACAAGACGAAGAATATCGTGCGGATATAAAATCACGCACGGTATTGCCCCACGTTCCCCGACCCCCCGCGTGCGTATTCCACTTGTGTGAAAGTGGCAAGTATGAAATCCTCACGTATTAAAACAGCCTAAGCTCAATAACAATATGCTTATGAAATACGAGTAAATGGGTTCACCACAGTAATCCAGTGGTTGCGGGATTCGAACCAGTGTTACTCGGATCTCGGGTAGCTAGTCCGACTTGCACCATTTGGCTATGGTCGATACAGTTTATTTTCACGACATAGCTCGCCTGAATCTTGGTTTGTCAATTAACAATTTATTGAGGATCATGAATTTTCATTTCACAATCGGATCAAAACTGATATTGACATATTGGTTAATAAATGAATTTCAGATAAACTTATTTAATCATATTATCAAATTGTGATTCATAGTAACAGTACCTATTAAAATGAGTCACATTTACATATCACCTGTAATTATCAGGGCGTGAAAACTTTTGTTTACAGGTCATCCTGCCCATGGGAGAAGCTTGGCTGATCAGCGACATTATGGCTAACGAAACCTTGGAACCTTCCATTGATGATCATGGAAAACCCTTTCTCATTAGTTACGAGGTAAGAAGTTGCCTTTTTATCGGTAGTTTTGCACAATTGCATCTGAGAGCTGGTATCTCAGGGACTTTCTGCTCACCAGGGAATTGGTGACTGTCCTAACCTCATATCCTGGGTACTACAGGAGCGGTGGCAAACAATCACTGCTCCCCATTTAGCCGCGGTCAATAATGAACTTAAATAAAACGGACCGGTATTCACGCCCGTNTATGGGCATGGTACGTAGCTTTCACATGTTCCGGCGTAATTAATCCGGCATGCCCATACACTTCACCACCGGATACCCGGCGCCGGTTAGCCGGCAACCGGGACGTGTGAAAAGGGCCTTAAGGTGTATTCACAGTTCTAGATACCGGGTGATATTTGTTTAAGACTCCGGAGAGGCTGGCTCCTTACCTCTTTTTACTTTATTGAAATTTTAAATTTCAAAGTTACTGAAACGACGTAAACTATTGTCCATGGTGGTCCAAAAAAGTAGAACCAGTCCTCCGGACCTGGAGGTTTAAAACTTGCTGATACAAAGTATCAAGCTACGTTGTTGTTGGTCGTAGTCAAGTCAGCACCAAAAGAACATGCTCTCCAATTTTTTTGCATTCAGACACTGCTGTACCTTACATATGAAGTTACTAATCCTCATCATCAGCAATTGCTGTACGGAAGCCAAGGAGCGCCGAATAACACATATTTATTTCATCTAGCCATGCCAATTAGGTTTTTGAGTTAGGGCGTCCTATACAACCTTCTCTGAGATTTAGTCCGGTCCGCTTTTCGTCGGTTCTCTTATAAGGAGACCGTTCTGTAGCTGACACATTTTTGTGACCGTGAACGCCTCAATAGAAATCAATGTTTGAAAGGGTCACCCCTGAACGCAAGTTCAGTCTATCCTCCGGCTCAGACCTTATTTGACTTTTACCATATCTCCGGCGTAACAACCCTACTGGCCAGCACGCGAACCATCCGCGCGGGCGCAGTTTTTGCCCCACCGGGAATGGACGCTGACGATTTGAAATATGTTAGGTCGTTATCGCGCGCAGCCTTGTTGTTTGTTAGCGTGCGCCCGCGCTGGTACGGACAAATTAGCGATTTTAGGATACATACAAAACAGCAGGCGAGAAGTTTGATTTATCAGCGCTGAATAGCGCTGTGCTTAACGAATGTCACACCTTTCTTGTTGCAGCCTGGGTATTGCTATTTTTAACTTGCTCTAGGGATGGATGTTTTTCGATTTCTTAGTTCCTAAAAATAAATGAAGGTCTTGCTCTGTTCAGAAACCAAGTAAATAAATGAATGAGTTAACTAACCGATAGATATTCAAATTGTATCTCTATGATTACATTTTTGTAAGGTGATTCATCGTTGATCAAACGTGTAAACTTTCATCAATATTATCTACGATAGATTATTTTTGTGAGATAAAATATGTACTATCAGCGTGAAAGTAAATGTCAAGGGCCTGAAAATGTCAAGTTACGTAGGAAAATTATTCTTTTTGTTTGAGATGCTGATAATACTCTCTGATAGGGCTTTTTACCGTTTTTTTGTAGCCTCTCAATTATTTTACTAGGCAGACGAACGAGCTAAAGATGAACTTTTAGTGAATCAATACCGAACAATTAGATCTAATTTCCATTTTCCCTTTTTCAGAAAATGGAGCTCCTCCACGTCATCATCAAAGCGGGTCCCTCCCCCCGCCCCCTCGCGTGGTCCCTCGAGGTGTCTCCCTCCGTGACCAACGAAGACTGGCGCCTGGTCCGCGCCTTCGGGGACCGGGACCACTGCCGGAAGCTTTGGGACCTCAGGCCAGAGAGACGAAGACGAAAAGCCAGAGGCACCAAGTGGAAAAGAGCGGCCAAGAGGATCAACCGAGCTGATAAGCCAGCCTGCTCCACGCAGTTCGTGAGTCAGAAGCCGCTCGAGAGTGGGGAGGTGGGTTGATGATAAGTTGTTAGTTTTATACGTTAATGTATTAGAAAATCAATATTGCATCTGTATGACTCACAATCATAGATATTGTTGATAAATCTTTCTCAATCAATGAGTCACCAAATAAATAGCAATCATTCAATTTCGTTTGATAAAATACGAGTATGTTGATGATTTGTTACTTTGTTAGGCTCTTTTACGTTATGCTAAGTTTTGTTTTTTGAGTTTTTTCATCATATCGGATCCATAGGTTCACCAGTAATACCACTCCTTGGCAGTGCGCTTAAGAAGATGTAGTAGCACATGACTTACCAATGAAGCTTAAATTTGAGCGACATTATAGCCGGACGGTGCAGAAGGTGTCGGACTGGCCGACCCGATAGCCGTGGAACACTGCTTCGGATCCTTGGGGAAGACCTTTGTCCAGCTGTGGACAAGGGGTTAACAGGATTTCAAATTCTCCTTTTCAAAAGTTACAATTTGACACTAGATCCCCTGTTCGCAGATGCATGTGGGCCTGGGCGAGGGAGTGGCGGCGCGGCGCGTGCGCGTGTCATTCCGCGCTGCGCACGCGGCGTCCGCGCGCCAGCAGTACTACACTGTGCGCGCGCTCACGCTGGCTGCGCGTTGTTTATGCCACGGGCATGCTGCGCACTGCAATGTTAATCATGAGGTTCGTGGCTTTTATTCCTAAAGTAAACAAGTTCATTTATTTTGTCGGTTATTTAATGACACAATATCTTTCAATGCTAAAAATACTAAGGCTGAGTTGCTCTACCTAACTTTGACCGTACCTTTGACGATAACCGGTGTTTATTGTATGGAGTTTGACAGATTTTCGACGTCTGTTAAAGTAAAAATAAGATGGTGCAACCCAGCCTAAATCCGTAAACAAACTAAAGTCACGGACATAGCTCGACGTATTAGCAAGCTGAACTAAAGTGGCAATAGGCAGGGCATGCAGAATTACTGGCAGTTAAATATTCTGGAATGGAGAGACTACGTACTAGCAAGCGCAGTGTGTGACGTCTCTCTCTCGCCCACCCTCAGGTGGACAGATGGCCTACAGTGGTGGACAGATAAAGGTTGCAGGAAGGCGCTGGTCATGAATGAATTGCAGAGGTCCTGTTCCGGTAAAGGTCCTTGCCTGAGTATTATAATATCTTTATTTATTCTTTCAGGGGGCCAAATGCGACTGCGAGCACGACACGTGCGGCAACCACTGCCAGCGCTGCTGCTCGGGCGGCGCGTGGAAACCGCACGCAGCGTGCGCGGCGGGCTGCGCGTGCGGCGAGCGCGGCGCGTGCGTCGACGACGCCGGCGACTTGCTGTGCGTCAACTGCACGGTGAGTTGGGGTTTACGGGACTATTTCGACCTCTCGTTCCCACCACTGCAACTCCTGTGTAGCCAGGATCTACAGGTTGACCGCCATAAAAACCCAACCAATGAAGGTCGAGTTTGTCACGGGGGAAAGTTAAACTGTCATTGGACCCGCAACGAAATTAATAAGAAGAACATAGGAGGAGTTCAGAATTAAGGTTCGACTTCCCTCCATTGCAAAGCGGAGTGAGTCCTTGAGTGAGCGGTGTGTTGGGGTTGTTTACGTAATCGAATCAGAAATGAGGAGATCCGTAAACGAACTAAAGTCGCTGACGTAGCCCGACGAAGCAAGTAAGTGGCTATCGCCAGGGCACATAGTACGCAGAACTGACGGCCGATGAGGCAGCAAGGTTTTGGAGTGGAGGCTATTGCATTATAGCAGGATTATTATTGGCAGCAGTGCTACAGTTACTATAGATAGCCCTTTTGTGGTTGCTTCTAGGAAAACCGAGCTGGACCACTGTGCGACCGATGCCTGCCCGGTTTCTACAATATCTTGCCTGATGGACCTTGCCTGCCTTGTGACTGCGACCCTGAAGGCTCTGATGGTGAGTACCATTACCTATATTACTTAGTCATGGGTAGATAACGCTAAAATGATCCAACGTAAAATATAGGTAAGTATCCTAAGCAGTACTTTACATAATAATATTTGCGAGATACATTGTAAAACCTGAGAAAGGGTAACCTAAAAGAGTTTTGTCTTCTAAGAACATGATGATTTTTCACTCAAATTACTCTCTTCCATATGCCTACAAAGATATTTTGTCTTAATTTTCCAGGGACATGCACCTGGGACCGTAAACACTTGCGACCAACCTGCAGGTGCCACGAAGGCTTCGCGGGTGCTTCGTGCGACTCGTGCGAGGACCCGACGGCCATCTTCCCTGCGTGTCAGGAGCCACCCGCCCCGGTGTGCAAGTGCGACCCGAGGGGGATTGTGGACCCTAGTCGCGTCTGTGATGATGTCTGCGAATGTAAGGTGAGGACTGAAACTACTAACTACCCATCTGTCTTTCATTTTAAATTATCCTGACTTGGATTTAATCTACTTTGGGAGTAGGACGGATTACTACATTATTTTTTCGATGAAGAAATAGTACTGATTTTATCAATTTCACGAGTCACTTTATTCTCTGAACTATTGTATGGACGACGAGTTGACGCAGCAGCAGATGCTTTGCAACTAAAATTTTGTCCAATGTGCCGACGACTTTATTTATCCCTATGTTTAATAAATTAGTGTCTCAAGTCTCTAGAAGGCTGATTTAACCACTTCGTGGGTTGATGACTTATGGTTTACCAATTATCAGCAAATCCGAGACTATAATCTGGGCCTTTTCAAGGCGAGAGTGAATAGGCACTTACAGGGCAGATATGTACCATCCTAGACTGCATCCCACTTAACATTAGGTGTGATTGTGGTCAAATACCTGCCTTGTTATGCATAAAAAATAATACTGGGGGTACCAGGGTTGTGTCGGCAAACATTTACCTTCTATTGCTATATCCCTTTCTCCAGGCGAACGTGGTGGGCGAGCGTTGTGACGCGTGCGCAGCGGGGCACTTCTGGGCGGGCCCGCGCTGCGCGCCTTGCTACTGCGCGCACGTAGCTGATGCCTGTGCGCCTGCGCATGATACGGCGGACCCGCCGAGAGATGTGAGTTCTGTTTGATACTTTTTTAAATAGAAACATGATCCCTCATACTAAGGGTGTTTGGGTCTATAAGTTTTGGGCCGACTCTGTATGGGTTTGTTGTCGTTACGACAAGAAGGAGATACCTACTTATCGTGCGGATTTATAATCACGCACGGTACTGCCCCGCGTTCCCCGACCCCCCGCGTGCGTATTCCACTTGTGTGAAAGTGGCAATGATGAAATCCTCACGTATTAAAACAGCCTAAGCTCAATAACAATATGCTTATGAAATACGAGTAAATGGGTTCACCACAGTAATCCAGTGGTAGCGGGATTCGAACCAGTGTTACTCGGATTTCGGATAGCCAGTCCGACTTTTGCACCGTTTGGCTATGGTGCATATGAGCTTTGCTCATGCGGCCCGCTTATGAGCAAAAGAAGTATCCATCTCGGGCGACACATCATGCACCCGGATGAGATAGCAGATATCAGGCTCCATAGAATCTGGAAATTTATAGACTCAACGGGACTAAGCAGTGAACTCTAAAGACAAGGGCTGCCACAATAGATCAAACCTGGTCGAGCTGGCGCAAATGAAGGCCCAAAACCAATAATAATAATAATAATAATGGTGCATATAGTTTATTTCCACGACATAGCTCGCCTGAATCTTGGTTTGTCAATTAACAATTTATTCAGGATCATGAATTTTCATTTCACAATCGGATCGTAACTGATATTGACATATTGGTTAATAAATGAATTTCAGATAAACTTATTTAATCATATTATCAATGTGATTCATAGTAATAGTACCTATTAAAATGAGTCACAATTACATATCACCTGTAATTATCAGGGCGTGAAAACTTTTGTTTACAGGTCATCCTGCCCATGGGAGAAGCTTGGCTGATCAGCGACATTATGGCAAACGAAACCTTGGAACCTTCCATTGATGATCATGGAAAACCCTTTCTCATTAGTTACGAGGTAAGAAGTTGCCTTTTTATCGGTAGTTTTGCACAGTTGCATCTGAGAGCTACTATCTTAGGGACTCTCTGCTTACTAGCTAATTGCAACTGTCCTAACCTCATATCCTGGGTACAGGAGCGGTGGCTAACAATCACTGCTCCCCATTTAGCCGCGGTCAATAATGAACTTAAATAAAACGGACCGGTATTTACGCCCGTATTCACAAACATTATTAAGTACTAGCGGCCGCCCGCGACTTCGTACGCGTGGATCCCGTTTTACCCCCTTCATCTATCTTACGCGGTTTAGATTTTTTCATACAAATGTTTTTTCCCGCTAACTCCCGTTCCCGTGGGAATTTTGCAATATCCTCTTGTAACTAAGCTTTGAGTTTACTAAGGTACCTGCATGCCAAATTTCAAGCGTCTAACTTAAGCGGTTTAGATTTTTCATACAAATGTTTTTTCCCGCTAACTCCCGGTCCCGTGGGAATTTTGCAATATCCTGTTGTAACTAAGCTTTAAGTTTACTAAGGTACCTGCATGCCAAATTTCAAGCGTCTAACTTAAGCAATTTAGATTTTTCATACAAAAGGATTTTCCCGCTAATTCCCGTGCCCGTGGGAATTCCTAAGTATCCTATAACCTGCCCAGGAGTACGAAGAATAATTGTACTAAGTTTCGTTAAAATCCTTCAAGTAGTTTTTGTTTCTATAAGGAACATACAGACAGACAGACGGACAGACAGACAGACAGACAAAAAATTTACTGATTGCATTTTTGGCATCAGTATCGATCACTAATCACCCCCTGATAGTTATTTTGAAAATATATTTCATGTACAGAATTGACCTCTCTACAGATTTATTATAAGTATAGATGAGGTCTCACAGTGCGCGTGGACGTTCAGGGTGACACACGAACCAATCACAATTCTATTCAACGTTGTGCGTTCGATTTTCTGCTTCACTTCAGCATGCATCGTTTGTGAATACGGGCGTTAATCAGGAAAACCGGTCACTATACCAATACATCTGGCACTGATTGAAGCCTAAAAAATCATAACTTACTACTTTTACAAAATCTCTTTTTATTTTCAGGTAGAAGGCTGGGAGCTATACTACTGGATTACACAGTCGTGGGGCGGGGAACAACTCTCGTCGTATGGGGCGGAGCTTCGCGCCACTATGTTCTGGGGGGTGGTGCGGGGCGACACGGGGGGAAACCCCACCGTTGGGCCTGACGTCATACTTATAGCTGCTGGTAAGTTAGTAAAGAAGGATACCTACTTAGGTTAGGATTAAAAAAAAATATGGTGGTAAAAGTTGGCGCCCAACATGGTGTTCTGACTGACTGGCCTCGATGTTTCGGCAAAGGTAGCAGATCATTATCTATCAGAACGTGCCATGAATACAAAGATGTTTCTTCAGTTGTGAATTAAAAAAATGGTGGTAGAAGTTGGCGCCCAACGTGGTGTTCTGACTGACTGGCCTCGATGTTTCGGCAAAGGTAGCAGATCATTATCTATCAGAACGTGCCATTAATACAAAGATGTTTCTTCAGTTGGGAATTTTAAAAAAATGGTGGTAGAAGTTGGCGCCCAACGTAGTGTTCTGACTGACTGGTCTCGATGTTTCGACAAAGGTAACAGATCATTATCTATCAGAACGTGCCATGAATACAAAGATGTTTGAGTTTCAAAGAACATGCAGTGATGAACTTTACGCCTACTCATTGTAATTATAATGTTGTCGGACAAATTGAAATGGTTTAAAGATCTTTTACTAGAGACTTACCCTACACCATTGAAAGACACACAAAAATAAAACTATCAATGTAACAGATATCTGTTGGACAGACTAAAAACATAATACTTAATTTGGCGCCCAACGTAGTGCTAGATTCTAAGTTTTAATTTTAATATTTTATACAAGTAATTTAAGTGTATGATTTGCACAACTCCTAATTTATAATGACTTTTTTACAGATGGTACAAAACTAGCGTTCGCAAACACCAGTCACGAGCAGCCGGGGCAGGTGGAGATAGTGGCGCCTCTAGTGGAGGGCCACTGGTACTCCTTCGAGGAGGCCTCGGAGCCTGCTACTAGGGTGCAGCTCATGGACGTGCTCATGGACTTGAAGGCTGTCATGCTGAGGGCGCACTTCCACTTCGACCAGGACGAGGTGAGGTCTCACCAAGTTTCATTTATAACCACGATAGCCGAACGGTGAATGCCACAATAGCCGAACGGTGAATGCCACGATAGCCGAACGGTGAATGGGTCGGACTGGCCGACTCGAGATCCGAGGAACGCGGGTTCGAATCCCACCGCCGCTCGACTATTGTGGTGAGCCCACTCGTAACACCAGCTTTTTTAGCTTACCACAAGGGGCTAACCGGACTATTAGTAATTTGCGCAATACACATTTCTAATAATCTTTAAAAAAAATGTGGGCACGAGTCGCGGCAGCCGGGGCAGATGGAGATAGTGGCGCCCCTGGTGGAAGGCCACTGGTACTCCTTCGAGGAGGCCTCGGAGCCTGCTACTAGGGTGCAGCTTATGGACGTGCTCATGGACTTGAAGGCTGTCATGCTGAGGGCGCACTTCCACTTTGACCAAGACGAGGTGGGAAAATGATGTCTTCCATCAGAGATGGTTAACAAAAATTTTCAATGGCCTTTTATGTACCTAAGGTTCAAAATGTATTGAAATAATTCGATAGGCAATATGGTATTCTGTAAATCTGAACAACTTGACTCACAAGTTATTTAGGTAGATCTGTTACGATTAAAAAAAATAGTGAAGAAAATAATTGTACAAGCAATTTCTTTCTGTTCGTGAGACTAATTTTTAAGTGACCCCTATGAAAACAAAATTCATATTATGTTCTACCATAGGGGTCACTTATAAATTAGGGATTGATGGTGAAAACGGGCGGAACCGTCGTACACGCTAATATTTTTATTCCAACGCCTATGTCAGTTAGTAAAGCAATTTCGAAGACCTTTAAACACCAAACTCCTACACGTATAAGTACTTGCTCGTGCGTGCACAGATCTTCTTTGTGGGAGAATTAAAACGATTGCTCCGTTCCAGGTCCGCCTCGAAGGCGCAGAAATCCGCGGCAGTTCATCTGTAGACATAGCACGCGAGACGTGCGCGTGCCCGGCGGGCTACGGCGGCGCGTGGTGCGCGCGCTGCGCCTGGGGCCACGTGCGTGTGCAGCGCGCGCCGGCCGCGCGCCCGCGCATCGAGTGCGTGCCGTGCGCGTGCAACGGACACGCTACGTGCACTGAGGGTAATGGGGATGTNGAGATTTAGGTGTAAAGAACATTTATTTCTCATTAAGAATCTTACAGTCACTTACATGAGAAATTAACAAATGTTATGTAGGTAGGTAATTTACAAGTTGTCCAATAGCCAGAACAAGCAGATGTTCTTCTTTACCCTTTGATCAATAAAGCTTAGATGGATAGTCCTCATACTAGCACTTCGTCTAAATTGAGGCAAAAATCTTAGTCATCCACTTTTACCCTACGCCACCAGATATTTTCGACACATTAAAATGTCTCCCTAGCTCTATGGTCAGAGCAGTAGCCCTTCGTGTAAAAAAGATATTCTAAGGCATAGTGCAAAATCACTCTTGGAGATGCGCTTTAATTCGGGATGTATTTGCTATACAATTTGTCTTATTGTTTGTGCAGTGGATGGACCCTGTGGGGAATGTCAACACAACACTACCGGGCCACACTGCGAGCGATGTTTGCCAGGACATTACGGGAATCCGGTGCAGGTAAACAGAACTTCTTTACCATTCGATACAAAGACATATTATACAAAGACATAATTAGACACAAGAGCAAGAGAGACACTTTCGCGTCGCGCTACATTTTGGCATGTAGGATGTAAGCAAGGAATGCCATTGCTCGTCGCTGACTTAAGGTTCGGCCAAACCAACGCGATCTCACGCGATCAGCCGGCGTGCAGCGATGGCGATCAATGCATTTAAGTCTGGTCGCCATCGCTGCATGCCGGCTGATCGCGTGTGATCGTGTTGGTTTGGCCGAACCTTTAGAAAACCGCGCTATGTTTAGTAAATACATTAATTCATTTGTTTTGTTGTCAGGGCGCGTGCAAGCCGTGCGCTTGCCCGCTGTATGAGGCGTCCAACAACTTCAGCCCAAACTGCGCGCTGGCGGGAGCTTCTGGCGACGCCTTCGTCTGCACGCAGTGTCCTGACGGCTACACCGGCGACCACTGCGAACAGTAAGGACTATTCTTACTATGTAGCTATTTACAATAAAATGTATACCATGATACCGTGCTCGGGATATACGGTCAGGAAGGAAACTAACTCCCTAGTGAGCCTAGAGTCCCTATTCCCTAAGACACTAAGTCCCTAGAGCCCTAGCCCTGCCTAACAATAAATACTTAGACATAATAAGGTATGATAGGAAGGAAGCTGTGCCCAGGTCGTCCAGGGCAGCAGCGTTAGGACGGCAGGTAGCAGAATGTACGATCGTGCTCGTATAAGGACAAAATATGCGACATCAGGCCTCCCCAACCTGTCTAATCAGCGAGGGGAGTACAAGCCAAATCCTTCTCTTTTGCTCTGGTAAAAGAGAGAGTTGTCCTACTGCAGTAGAGAGTGAACAACCTGGTGTTATTACAGCTTCGACTTCTCTCCGTCTTCCAAGCCGGCCAGCGTTGGGATTGTAAGCCATGTCCTCCCATTTGTGTCTTATAGAATTAAGGAAATCGTGTTACTGCAGTGGAGACTGATCTGATGATGTTGTTACAGCTGTGACTTCGGCTACTGGGGCTCGCCCACGACTCCAGGCAGCAGCTGCCAACCGTGCGCGTGCGGCGGCGCGCCCTGCCACCCCGACACCGGGCTGTGTCTTACCTGCCCGCCGCATACAGAGGGAGCNTCTCGATGTTTCGACAAAGGTAACAGATCACTATCTATCAGAACGTGCCATGAATACAAAGATGTTTCTTCAGTTGGGAATTAAAAAAAAAATGGTGGTAGAAGTTGGCGCCCAATGTGGTGTTCTGACTGACTGGCCTCGATGTTTCGACAAAGGTAACAGACCATTATTTATCAGAACGTGCCATGAATACAAATATGTTTGAGTTTCAAAGAACACGCAGTGATGAACTTTACGCCAATCATTGTAATTATAATGTTCTCGGACAAATTGAAATGGTTTAAAGATCTTTTACTGGAGACTTACCCTACACTATTGAAAGACACACAAAAATAAAACTATCAATGTAACAGATATCCGCTGGACAGACTAAAAAACTTAATACTTAATTTGGCGCCCAACGTGGTGCTAGATTCTAGGACGTTATTTAATTTTAATATTTTTACAAATTTTAAATACAAGTGATACCACAGAATAATAAAAGTACTGTAATACCTAAAAGTGTCTGTTTTGTATAACTCCCAATTTATTACGACATTTTTACAGATGGTACAAAACTAGCGTTCGCCAACACCAGTCACGAGCAGCCGGGGCAGGTGGAGATCGTGGCGCCCCTGGTGGAAGGCCACTGGTACTCCTCCGAGGAGGCCTCGGAGCCTGCTACTAGGGTGCAGCTTATGGACGTGCTGATGGACTTGCAGGCTGTCATGCTGAGGGCGCACTTCCACTTTGACCAAGACGAGGTGGGAAAATGATGTCTTCCATCAGAGATGGTTAACAAAAATTTTCAATGGCCTTTTATGTACCTAAGGTTCAAAATGTATTGAAATAATTCGATAGGAAATATGGTATTCTGTAAATCTGAACAACTTGACTCACAAGTTATTTAGGTAGATCTGTTACGATTAAAAAAAATAGTGAAGAAAATAATTGTACAAGCAATTTCTTTCTGTTCGTGAGACTAATTTTTAAGTGACCCCTATGAAAACAAAATTCATATTATGTTCTACCATAGGGGTCACTTATAAATTAGGGATTGATGGTGAAAACGGGCGGAACCGTCGTACACGCTAATATTTTTATTCCAACGCCTATGTCAGTTAGTAAAGCAATTTCGAAGACCTTTAAACACCAAACTCCTACACGTATAAGTACTTGCTCGTGCGTGCACAGATCTTCTTTGTGGGAGAATTAAAACGATTGCTCCGTTCCAGGTCCGCCTCGAAGGCGCAGAAATCCGCGGCAGTTCATCTGTAGACATAGCACGCGAGACGTGCGCGTGCCCGGCGGGCTACGGCGGCGCGTGGTGCGCGCGCTGCGCCTGGGGCCACGTGCGTGTGCAGCGCGCGCCGGCCGCGCGCCCGCGCATCGAGTGCGTGCCGTGCGCGTGCAACGGACACGCTACGTGCACTGAGGGTAATGGGGATGTTTCCTGGGTCAAAAAGCAAGAGTTTTAATTAGTCCGTCAGTTAACTTATCAAAAAATACTCTACACGTATTTTTCACTTTTTCAAACTAATGAAAATTTAAAGAGATAAAGCGCGCCAAAGTTCATAAGAAGAGGCCCGTGACGTCAATGCGTGCATAAAAGTGCCGCACGTTGTGACGTCGTGCGGAACTTCAATGCACCATAACTATGTAATTATTTGTTAGATTGACAAAAAAAAAATATACGTGTCCAATATTTTTTGATATTAAACATTACGGACAAAAAAATTTTTTTAGGAAAGTAGCCTATTGGGATTTACCTTTTGATCAATAAAGCTTAGATGGATAGTCCTCATACTAGCGCTTCGTCTAAATTGAGGCAAAAATCTTATGTCATTCACTTTTACCCTACGCCACCAAATATTTTTGACACATTAAAATGTCTCCCTAGCTCTATGGTCAGAGCAGTAGCCCTTTGTGTAAAAAAGATATTCTGAGGCATAGTGCAAAATCACTCTTGGAGATGCGCTTTAATTCGGGCTGTATTTGCTATACAATTTATCTTATTGTTTGTGCAGTGGATGGACCTTGTGGGGAATGTCAACACAACACTACCGGGCCACACTGCGAGCGGTGCTTACCGGGACATTACGGCAATCCGGTGCAGGTAAACAGAACTTCTTTACCATTCGATACAAAGACATGGTTAAATACACAAGAGCAAGAAAGACACTTTCGCGTCGCGCTGCATTTAAGGTTCGGCCAAACCAACTCGATCACACGCGATCAGCCGGCGTGCAGCGATGGCGATCAATGCATTTAAGTCTGGTCGCCATCGCTGCACGCCGGCTGATCGCGTGTGATCGCGTTGGTTTGGCCGAACCTTTAGAAAACCGCGCTATGTTTAGTAAATAAATACATTAATTCATTTGTTTTTGTTGTCAGGGCGCGTGCAAACCGTGCGCTTGCCCGCTGTACGAGGCGTCCAACAACTTCAGCCCCAACTGCGCGCTGGCGGGCGCTTCTGGCGACGCCTTCGTCTGCACGCAGTGTCCTGACGGCTACACCGGCGATCACTGCGAACAGTAAGGACCCTTGTCAAATCCACTCATTACTCCGACAATTTCAGAGAGCCCTTTGAATCCTTCAGAGAACCCTTGAGAGAGGTCTTAGTCTGGTAGTGGAAGTGGAAATCGTTATTGCTGTGTGGTTCAGGCAGTTATAATCAGATCACCCCCACCCACTTGTCCCGTTTATGTCGAAAATGGCGACTAAGGGACTTTGTCAACTTGAATATTCCCCAACCCGTCTGGTCAGAGTGAGGAGTGTTGTCTTTCTTAACCCTTCCTTTGCTTCTAAGAACTATAGTTACTTTTAATGCTCATCAGCTGGCGCCACTGTAGAGTAAGGCTCTGGCACTTGCTGGTGGCTAAGAAAGTGGCGCCAGCTGGTGAGCGCTAAAACAGTAGGATGACTGATAGCTTTTTCACTAACCAGGATGACGCCCCATTGTATAGTAAACACTTTGTCACATGCTAGTGGTAGCTATTGAGCACGAAAACGATAGCCCTGTGGGCTGAGTGTGAGTTTACATCAAACGTATGAATACGTTGTGAGCGCGTTTAGAAAATGTATAAAAATTTTAGTTTTTAAACGTTTCCCGCTAGGGGCGCTGTACAATCCGTCATACATTTAATGTCATTTTTGACACGCTCACTAGTGAAACTCATACTAGGCCCTCTGGTTAAAACGGATCGGCCTCATGGAGTGGAAACTAAATGACCTGTTCTTACAGCTGTGACTTCGGCTACTGGGGCTCGCCCACCACTCCAGGCAGCAGCTGCCAACCGTGCGCGTGCGGCGGCGCGCCCTGCCACCCCGACACCGGGCTGTGTCTTACCTGCCCGCCGCATACAGAGGGAGCGCGATGCGACCAGTGCGAGGTACTTATTGACATGGCCCTGCAGCTGTGACGTCAGCTACTGGGGCTCGCCCACGACTCCAGGCAGCAGTTGCCAACGGTGCGCGTGCGGCGGCGCGCCCTGCCACCCCGACACCGGGCTGTGTCTCACGTGTCCGCCGCACACCGAAGGAGCGCGCTGCGACCAGTGCGAGGTACTTATTGAATTCACTTAGCCCTGCGGTTGTGACGTCAGCTACTGGGGTTCTCCCAAGGCACGCCGACCACCCCAGGCAGTAGCTATCATCCGTTCGCGTGCGGCGGCGCGCCCTGCCACCTCGACACCGGGCTGTGTCTCACGTGTCCGCCGCACACAGAGGGAGCGCGCTGCGACCAGTGCGAGGTACTTATCCACTTAGCCCTGCAGCTATAACAGCGGCTACAAAGGCTCGCCGACCACCCCAGGTAGTAGCTATCATCTGTGCGCGCGCGGCGGCGCGCCCTGCCACCCCGACACCGGGCTGTGTCTCACGTGTCCGCCGCACACGGAGGGCGCACGTTGTGACCAGTGCGAGGTACTTACTGACTTATCCCTGCAGCTATGATAGCGGGTACTGGGGCTAGACTACCTCGGGCAACAGCTGCCGTCCGTGCGCGTGCAGCGGCGCGCCCTGCCACCAAGACACTGGTGTCTCTCTATCTTACCTGTCCGCCGCATACGAAGGGCGCTCGCTGCGACCAGTGCGAGGTACTTATTGATTGACTTAGCCCTCCAGCTGTGACAACAACTACTCGGGCTCGCCCACCACTCCAGGTAGCAGCTGCCAACCGTGCGCGTGCGGCGGCGCGCCCTGCCACCCCGACACCGGGCTGTGTCTCACGTGTCCGCCGCACACCGAGGGAGCGCGCTGCGACCAATGCGAGGTACTTATTAACTTAGCTTAGAACTGCAGCTGTGACTTCGGCTACTGGGGCTCTCTTACCACTCCAGGTAGCAGCTGCCTGCCATGCCACCCTGAAACCGGCCTGTGTCTCAGAAAAATAGTCACAAAAAATATACAAATCAGTAAAAGAGAGTTGACTTGCCCGCCAATTTGATTTTGTTCTTGTTAGAGGATTCTTTGACAAAAAAAAATCACCAAAAATAAACACAAATTAAAGACAATTGCTAATCATTCATTTTCCCGCCAAGAAGTCCCACTCCGATTAATTTTATATTACAAAACTTGACCTTCACTGGAAGCTTTATATTATTGCTTCGCTTCCGTTTCCCGTCGATTTTCCTACCCTTTTTAGTACTTGTATTGACTTCGTGTTTCCGGCTCAGTGGCGACACCTGGTGATTGCGCGCCATTTTTAGTTTTGAACTATTGAACAAAAAATAATTTTGTGGAGGGTAGTTGGAAAGAAATCATGTTGTGGTTCTCTCGTCTAATAATTATTTAACTTATTTTTAATAGACTAGTGTTCCAAAACTGGTGTTATTGTGTGTTTATAGTGCAGTAAAGTGATAAAATCATTGAAACTTATTAAATTCAAACGTGTATTGAATATGAAAAGACTGTGAACAGCCTTGCTTTTGCTGCTAAAACCTAACCTATTAAAACTATAGTATGTCACACTCTACATTATCATAAATTCCATTAGTTTTAACTAAGTAGCTTCTTCTTTTTATTCGTCATGCAAAATTCTGATTATGTACCAATCTCGGGCAAATAGAAACTTAATGACACAAAGTAGCTGATACTAAAACTTCCGTAGACCTTCTTGAACAATCATCGTTTTGGCAAGCTCGATCAGATCGTGGATCGACTGGATCCACCAACGATTGCATCTTCAGTCTGATAATAAATCAGTATCATAAGCAAAATTAAAATTTCAAGACAAAAATCTTCATCACCAGGAAGGCTACTGGTTCGGGCTAGACAACGGCACGGGCGCGGGCGCGGGCGCAGCGTGCGTGGCTTGCGCGTGCGGCGCGGGCGCGCTGGCGGCGGCGTGCGACGCGCGCTCCGGCCTCTGTGCTTGCCGTGAAGGCTTCGCGGGACGCGCGTGTGACCGCTGCGCCGAGGGACATGGAGGTAGGCTGCCCTACTAAGTTTTAAATGATCGTAATATCAGGCCTGTTCATCTCCGCGAGTTTACATCGAAAACAAAACACGCACGATTGCCCCCTACAAGAGTACTATTCGACAAGGCCTCACATACGAGCGAACATTGACTCACGCACGCGTATTCTTGTGTATGATGGAAAAAAATAAAGAAAATGGTGTACTAAATACTGTGCAGTATTTAACTGCCTAAATAATAATAAAAACACAGAATGTACTTTTTTAAGTTGCCTGAAGACACTGAGAGGTAAATAAGTAGTTAATATTATTCATGATAATTCATGCTAAATCATGTATTTCCTCCGCCATTTTCTGCAGATTGGCACCTCACGTCACATCATTTTACCGAAGTCAGCCCTATAGCTTCGGCGCAGTACCGATCACTGACGTTTGTCAACAAAACTTCTGACAAACTTGCTTGACTCTTGAGACAAGCTAAATTACACCATATTGTTAATGACATTGAGCATACATTTTTTTAAATACCTTCGCGAAGTAAAACTTCTGTACGTAGTACTTATTATTATTCTGTGGTTTTATTATCATTTAAAATCTTGAGATGTACAATACAAAAGAGGATATTTACAAAATAGTAGGCACAACTAAAGGGGATATTTACAGTAAGTACAGAACAAAGGGGGATATTATAAAAGATCCGTGTCAAAAGAGGATATTATGATTTTTCTGAACTCTGTAACTTTAAATTAACAAGTCATATTTTTTTGGCAAAAAGTGTAGTTAGAACACTGTAATGAAATAGTTTCATAACAGAAACAATGCTTTTCGGTAGGTCTGTAAATATTTCCCATATAAGTTTTTCCCATTTTGTGAAAAATAAGATAGAATGTAGGTATCCCCTTTTGAAAAGACACTCCTCACTTATAAAAGTTGCGGTGGATCAAGATCAGCTCTTATATGAAGATCTATTTTAATTACGGCCAGTCAGTCTTATACTAAACTAGCTGACCCGGCGAACTTTGTTCCGCCTTAATGGCAATAAATAACGGGATAAAAAGTATCCTATGTCCTTCTCCTGGCTTTAACCCTTTCGGACCCGCGCTTAAACTAGAAAGAAATTTGTAATTTTGAACATGAATTTTAGGTAATTTGGGGCCGCAGATTACGAATCTGCTATAATTTTCCAGATTTTCCGCCGCCATCTTGGAAAATTCATATACCAACAATTGTATCAAACTGGGCCCTTCACTTCCCACGTACAATTGTGAGGGTCAAAATTGTAAGGGTTTTAGAAATTGTATCAATGGCATGTATTTCGAAAAACGTATTTATAACCCGTAAGGAATAAAGAGGTTTCAATTTTATACCAGTATTTGCCATTTAATATTGATTTGTGGGCAAAACCATCTGTTCCATGAGCTCAACAGTAAATATAGCGCTCGAAATATTCCTATGGAGTTTTAATATCTCCTGGATCATGAACAGCATCTCCTGGAAGATGTTGACGATTGAAGGGCTTCGTCTGCTATGCCGCTTGCATACTCAGAGGTATGTATCGTCATGAATGTCTGAGCCTTCATCAGAAGAAGAGGAGTAGTTCATCTGAAGTAGACGAAACTAGCTTTTGTCGTTGTCATCGCTCTCATCCCCAGATGCATTGAGCATCTCTGCGATAGTAGCGTCGTTTAAAATCGGAAACATGGTGCGGAAACCATGAAAAATTAATAATTATGAGAAACTTAAAATACGCATAAGGTATTGTAGGGCCCACGTCGATACAATTGTGTCAGTAAAGTTCGTTAAGCCGTTACGCCAAAGTCTTTGCTTACAAGTAGTCACTGTTATCATCAAAAGATGCTATTTTTATCTATTTGTCTATTTACTAACTTGTATATTACTACAATTACAAAATAAAACTATAGTAGGCACTTTCTTTCGCCAAGTTGGGGAGTGCAATCAGTCATGAACTGTACAGGTTGTAACCTGCTCACCAACTGCGCTTCGGACAAAATTTGCACGGGAGGTGAAAGAACGCATCCCGCACAATCGTACGATACTCAGCCCATCCACTTCCGATGTAAAACTAATGAGATAATCTCGATTTTGTAACCCGCACAATTGTATTGGAGCGGTCCGAAAGGGCTAAGTTTCAGATAAGTACAGGACAGAAAAACTGTGGTTATAGCTGTCTAAATAATAATTATATTTATTTGATTGAAAAGTTTGGGAAATCTGGCAATAATCACCTAAGTCCTAGTTTCTGAAATACAGGATTCAGAATTAAACTAAAATTATTGCCTGCAAGTAGATTGAACCAAAATTGATTGTTGTTCAAGTCGTTCCTTGAACCTGTCGGTTACTACAAACGTTATAGCGAAATATTAATAGCCCTTTTACGTCGCTCGCGGCCAGAGGGCAGCGATACGCGTGCGTGATGAAACTTCTAATGCGACCGTATTCATAAACCACTTGATATCTAAATATATTTCAGCNGTTTCAGCCAGTACAAGTTAGTGTCAGCCCAAAACTCCGCTACAAGAGTGGCATTGTCAGCAGCATTCATTAAATCCTCCTGCGTGCAGTTGCTCGGGTACTCAGGGCACGACATCATGTGCTTCAAATTCAAATTCAAATGATTTATTTCTTAAAATATGATCATCGATTAATAAAATTGTATTTAGCAAGGCTGATTTCGTTTGCTTGATTTCAATGTGTAGGTAGGTATTTGTACAATTCTGAAAATGTATCATCGGGAAACATTGAATAACTCGTCAATCGTAGAAGATTATTTAAAAAGTACGGTAAAGGACTACTTATTTATTTATGTATTACTTTAATAATAACACATAATTAAGCATAATACGAGTACTTATGTCCGCAATTAATTAAGAATTTCTTTACTTACCTATGCACCAGTTGAATGTAATATCGTATTAATATTTTAATCGCTTTTAATTTTGGAATCAATTTGAATTTACCTACTAACTTAAATTATTCAGAACTATCAAAAATGAGATGCGTTTATGAATACAAGCATGAAGTGCAGCTGCAGTAGTTATTGCATCGCTCGCGTGTTTAGTCTCAGGTTGTTTGGGCTTGTTTGAATTTCGCCTAAATATGGAGCCTGCATTGTTGACGTTAGGATTGCGTTTCAGCGATGAAGTTTCTAAGCCAATAGTAAAACACTCCATGGTTTATAAATATGGGATTTAATAACAAACTTATTTTTCAAAGTTGGAGAAAGTCCGATATTTTAGGAACCTTTAATTTAATAAAGAACTTACGAATGTAGTAAGTAACGAACTAATTGTTCAACATTTTTGTAAGATAGGACTATGTTTTGTTAAAGAACTACGTTACCTTGTTGGTCATTTTCTGTTAAAGATTCTATCCTATAGACGAAAGGTGTGACTCAAAATCGTAACCTAACTTTTAAAGGATATGGTACTACATATTCAAGTATCATTAGATTATATTAATATCCGCAATAAAGCTCTGAATCAAGTGTCCGATAGCGAACTTAATTTATCGCTCCTCCCCTTTTCATGCTAAAATAGTCTACAGACTTTGATTGTGTTTCTACATAGTCTCGATGACTGTTGCTGTTATTAATAGTAGTGCGCAGGAGTGGCATGCGCCGCGTCGTCTGCCGCGACAAGTGATCGCGACGCACTGTCTGGCACTTTGAGGACATGGGCCAATCGTGTGGGGCATTTCGTTTTCATGTTGAATGTGATTGTGATTTGTGTTAAAGAGAAACCGCTAACCGTTCGTTCGTTCGTTTCAGCTGAAAGACGTCCACTGCTGGACAAAGGCCTCCCCCAAGGATTTCCACAAAGACCGATCCTGTGATCGAATCAGAAATGAGGAGATCCGTAGCAGAACCAGAGTGACTGACATAGATCGCAGAATCGATAAAATGAAACCGCTAATAACGAGGTCAATTATCTTAAGATGTAATTTATTTTTAAATACGATAAGCTTAATTAAAGGTTACTGATGAAAGAGATACAATAAGAGGTAGGAACACCAAGCAAGCTTGTTCTAAAGATGGATCATCATCCCCCTTATGACTCTTGATAGTTCAAAATTGGTGAAAAGAGAATGACTTCCTTACTCGTATTAATCTTTACATTGACTTAGCTACTATTGTTAGAGAGGTTTCGCACTATTTTCGATTCGAATCCTTCAAAAGAGGGATCTAAAAGAGTAGTATCGATTTAGACACACAAATGTCGAGAATTTTGCCTATAGTCTCACTGTCGATATGTTCGTTTAAATTCCTCTTTGCATCACGAATGAGCGGTTCCATTTAAGTATGTTACTTTCTCGGCAGAATAACATCTCCACAAATTGATTCGTCCATAAAGCTACTCTATATTCCTGCAGCCTTAACTGGCGCAGTTAGATCTCGCTGCCCTCAATCGTCGCCGGGGGTCCACTCCGAAAAAACGTTTCGAGAAATTCAAAATCGCCTACATCCGCATCTTTTGAGCTATAAAATAGAAACGTTTAATCGTATTTGCACTCAATGCCACACTAATATTCGTGCCCGCTGATTTAATAAAAGTTTCATTTTGTTAATCAAAAAATTGTCACAACCATAACAGTACCTACAATTTGCGATCTTACGAGTGTTTAGGTTTAAGACTTGTATGTTTTATACCCTAATGCTTTTATAAATATTATCGGATTTCTTGTTTAAAGCTTTTACATGGATATGTATGAAACACGGGCCAATTTCCGCGGTGATACAAATATCACACGCCCACTTGCTAAAGAGAAAATACAAATCTTGGTACTCGCAGAAATTACTACAAACTAGAGATGAAACGGATAGTTGTTTGGCCGGATACCGGATACCGGATATCCGGCCAGCTGCTAGGCCGGATAGCCGGATATCCGGCGGCCGGATAGTTGGCCCATTGTCTTGTTGCATGTCGTGACGAGTTTAGCGCCGCACAGATGCTTTGAACGTCTATTAGTCGACTAGACTAGTCACACTTTTCGAAAATCGAATCCGTCCGAACAGAATGTCAGATTTTGCCACTGGTCTAGGGGGCAGATCAATTCGGGCGATTTCGGTTGCCATCGTGAGTGTGTGATTGAATAGCAAAAATTAAATTAGGTTACTTGCTGCGTAATCTGACTGAACTGCATCATGTCATCAGACTCAGTGAAAAAAAATCGCCTATTTTATTTGGCAATATTTCGACATTAACAGATATTTATTATTTATGTATTCATCATTAGAGTGAATAGCTCAGAAAAAGTTGTTTTTTTAAAGGCCTTAATATGGCTTTTTTGCAACTTTTTGGACTTTAAATAAAAGCCGTCATTATTATAAGCCATTTTATTGATATTTACCTCAAAGATTAATGTATTTCATTTTATTAATAGGACATTTTCGTAGTTTTTTAATATCCGGTATCCGGCCGGATAGTGAGTTACTATCCGGTATCCGGCCGGATAGTAAATTAAGGCCGGATATCCGGCCTACCGGATAGTTACCGGATATCCGTTTCATCTCTACTACAAACCCAGTGGTATTGGATTTGAATCATACAATGTGTTAGTCAAATGAGCTCTACACAGATATATCGACATTACTTTTGTCAGTATGTATTCTTTCTAAGAATATTTTATGAGTAAGTACTCCTTTCATTCAAATTTAAAACTTAACATGAGCTATCAAAATATAATCTTAATTTATTTTGAAACCTTTGCAATGACTTTTACATTATGTAAACGTTAAACTTACTTTTTAGATGTTAACAATGAATCAAGTAATAGCAACATACAACATACCGTCTGTTTCCACGTCTTCATAATAACTCAAGCACGCTGGCTGAGTCATTGTTTCCGAGGCGCTTGCCCGTCACGACCCGTAGTGTTGTGCCCGACCCGACTGCTGACATTGACCGATGACCTCTGAAAACTTTACTAAGTAACCCTGTTTTAAAGCAATAATAGGTCCTAAATACTTTTAAACGTATAATGCATCCTAAGAAATAATAGCAGCAGGATGAAAAGAAATAAAGTGATAAGACTTTCAGCAAGTCAAAAGTTATGACAGGCTTAGTTTTTTACTACAAACCTGTGGTTGAAATAAGACTGTGGAGAAATCAGCTGAACGCAAGGTACAGAAAATCATATTCTTATTATCTTTTGAGTTTATTAAGGAGACTATTTGTGCTCTATCTAAGTCTCTACGCGAGTTTATTGAATCACATTTCCATCTACTACCGTTACATGAATAGCCGGCATCTTTGGAACTTGAAGCCGATTGCTAATATCGTAGTTTACAACAAATTGCCGATCCAAATTAGTGTCCAATCATCATTACAAACATAATAACGTTAATAACTAAAATATTCTCATCGTAGACTGATCGCTCCCACAAATAATTATTTCGCAACTGATGATTGATGGCGAACTGTCCATTCGCAGATCTAATGTTGGTTATTAATGTCTTCTTTGTTTCAATTTTCCTGATTATTGTGTAGCTTGGTGAAACTAATTCAAAGGACTCAATATCTTACTTGTAATCCAAATCTATTGTCGTCAACTGACACGAAATTGTGTTCGTATCGTTAAAAGAATATTGGTTTTAGTTTGTATAGGCGCGGGTCGATTCATGTCTCATACAATTATGTCACATCATGGCCTGCACGAGTGCACATGACACGTGTTGTACCTAAATAATGTTCACCTTTAGTATGGGTTTTACTATGATTGACTATCAATTCTGTTCTAGCGTTTCTGCCGCGTCCTTTTCAATCTTATTTTCAGGAAAACCATGAATGTCCAAATTACGTCTCTCCATGTTCCCATCCCTATCGCCAGATCTACATGTCCGCGACTTCGGCGCATGCACGCTTGTTAGTAGTTCCGCTGCTGGCTCTAATAGGAGCAGCTTCTGTTTTTGCCGAACCGACACAGCTATCCCTTTTGCATTTTCTAAATGTTTTTTCAAAAGTTTAACATCCTGCATAGTTAAAACATTTTTAAACACTTGAAAGTGAAAATTGAAATATGTGCGCCAAAGGTCACGCTGTCGGCACGGCTGTCGGTACAGTCTCTGTATGAGATATTTTCATATAGTCTAAGATCCCGCTATACAAGGACCTTCACCGAGATGCTTATTTGATGAAACATATTTTATATTCAATTTAACATGTCAATAATTATATTGCTTAAGGGTTGCCAAATAAATTTCAGTCCAGGATATGATTAATTAATCATTAAAAAAAGTTTTATTTTCCAATATTTCATCGGTTTGATTATTAAACAAACTCCATACCAATCGAAACTAGTGTCCGACCNACCATATTGTTAATGACATTGAGCATACATTTTTTCAAATACCTTCGCGAAGTAAAACTTCTGTACGTAGTAGGTACTTATTATTATTCTGTGGTAATATCATCAAAATTTCAACTTACTCAAAGTAGCTTTAATTTATTATCAGTTTTAGCAGCTTGCTTTGTCTATTCTATTCTATAGCTTTGTCAGATATGGCCAGACCTTTCCCACTAGGTGCTTGCTACTGGGATTTAAGTGCGTTCTATGAAATTCTATGTCTATTTTGTTCTATAAGAAAATAAAAATCCATGATGGAAATGAAGGTCCACATAGTGGCATAAAGAAACTGTTGAAGTCGTAATTGAAATTTAAGGCTACAATACATTAATGAAGGAGCTATAGGAGGCTAACGTAAAATCGAGTAACATAGCAAGTGATTGACGACCTCTTCCTATATTTTTCTGATTAAATTCGTTGTGGGTTTCAAGATAGTTAGCTATCCCCGGGACTACTCAACCCTCACTAGTTGCAGAGGTAGCAAATAAATGTCCCATAAGACCAGTTAGGCTGGTTTTAGTGTCACGCGGACTGTCAGTGCGGATCGCTCCGCACAGCCGATTACGATTTGTATCAACTGCTTGGGAGCGGAGCGATTCCTCCGGACCGCATTACTCTAAAACGCTCCCTAGTAGTTCATACAGATTGGTCGTGCGGAGCTAAAACTAGGCTTAGAGAACAAGGAGGAGAAAAGGTATATTTCTTTTGTAAAACCCGAGGCTTACAAGCATCTCCTTCCCCAGGAGTCGAGCAAGGCTGCCCGCTCTGCCGCTGCGGCACCGCAGCTCGCAACAACCGCTGCGACGCGCTGACGGGCAAGTGCGTGTGCGCGCCCGGCGCCGCGCCGCCATCTTGCGACGTGTGCCTCGACCACCACTACGGGCTCGACGTCACGGGCTGCTTGGGTGAGTAGCTAGTGTGATAAGTTGACGATAGATGGAGCTTTTTGTGGTTTTGTGTTTTGATACAGGGTTGTTTTCAGGACTCGTGCACATTTGTGTTTTGATGTCATTATTTCAGTGACTTAGCCTTGGGCGTCAGAAAAGGCTTTTCCTGGAAAATTTAACAACGTGCATTATTTTATTCTTGTGCATAAGTACTAGCAATTTTTATCATGTTTTTATTGCAGAGACGCTATTTATAACAAATATAAGACGTTATTTAACTTGAACCCCTGATTAGATCACTGTCCCTAGACTATAGGTACTTCCTCCTTCTCAAACTTAATATTACAGTTACCATCGACTCTTACTTCTTTTTTGCTCACTTCCAACCTTAGGAGAAATGTGGCTAAAAATAAAACGCAAACACGGGAAAATCATAAAAGCAACCAAAGCTATGTAAGCTAACGTTTATCCTGCAATTTGCTAGTGTAAGTAAATCTTGGTAAACATGCATGTAGCGTCTCTTACCTAGGGCTGTGGCGACTGGTCCGGGCCTTGTGCCTCGCAATTTGCGTAATGTGCGATGGCCCTTAATTTGACCGACCCACCGCAGCGGCGTGCGCCTGCGGCTACAAGCGCATATCTCGACGTACATCGACGATTTCTCACTAACAAAATAATTCTCCGTTGAAGAAAACAGGATATGTGTGCGCTTGCGATGTTTGCGCCACTTTGTCACGCATTAGCTTGAGGAAACAAATCATAGAGGGCGAACGTATTATGACGTCACGTCCGGATTCGCCCGTAATAGGGATTATCGCGAAGGTGGCAATCAACGGGTATTATGCAAAGACGGTAATGTGTTTTTCTAGTAATCCATCTAGGTAGAAGTGCTGGAACTAGTTCGTATGCTGATTCTGCCGTTTCGTAGTACAGTGGCGTAACAATGTAGCGACGCTGGTTGTTGATTAACATTGAAATTGTCTTTTGTGTTTCAACTACAAGACAGTCAATTCAATGAGACAATAATAGAGCGACGAGCTTTTATAGCTTCTGAGTACAAAAGCTTCTAACAAGCTTAGCTCACTGGTACTGTGTATCAATGTTATAATGTTTACTTGGGTATCCTAATAAACGGTCCATCGTTGTCTGGAAGAAATCGCTTTATAGAAATAAGACCGTCTAAATTGTATTGTCTCTTTATTTTTTCAGTCTTGTGTGGTGTACAAAAAGTGTGTTCTAGGTATCTAATTACACTGCACAACAGAATTGCTACTTTTGGCTGATGATTGACTTTCATTACTTGATGTTTAGGTTAATTTGACGTCGCTGATTCTGAATCTGCCGTCCATTTTCTCGTAGCAGCTCTTGTTTACGAGGTATAGCTTTCACTCAAAGATTGCTTTTCAGTCTTAATTCGCCGACAGTTCAAAAAATACTAGATAATTATCTATCCGAATACCTAGGGAACCCTTATAAAACGTACTCGAATACATTGAATTTGAAAAATAAGAATCGATCAACCGCGTAGCAATAGTTTACAGTTCATAACTGGGTCGGCTACAATGGCGTGTTTACCCCATAGACATAGAGGCTTGTCAGGAGGCAATTACTCATCAGCAACGCGGAAACTAGGCGAGGTTTACACAGTAGGTGGCGCTGAATCACGCTGCGCCCGCGCCGCCCGGGATCGTGTGCACTGCTGGCCATGGAAATAGTTAAACTTCAATAATATAAAGCACATTCCTGATTGATAGAATATGTGCTTCTTAGTTAAGATACTGAGTACTTCATTTTTTTGACAAAAGCGACATCTTATGCGGTTTTGTCTCTATTTTGCAAGGAAACTGTATAGTTTTGTGTGCTATCGACTGAGCATTTATTACCTCCTAGTCGTCCGCCCGCGGCTTCGCTCGCGTGGAATTTTGTCTGTCACAGGAAAACATTATCACGCGCGTTCCTGTTTCAAAAACCGGGATAAAAACTATGCTATGTCCTTTCCCGGGACTCAAACTATCTCTATGCCAAATTTCATTAAAATCGGTTCAGTGGTTTAGGCGTGAAAGAGAGACAGACAGACAGAGTTACTGTCGCATTTATAATATTAGTATAGATTTTGTATTGGTTTTAAATATAAGTACCTACTTGTACTAGTAGAAGATTTACATATTTATTTTAATCGTCATCATCATCGTTTCAGCCAACTGGGCAGCCCTCCTGGGCAGCGCAGGACCGGTCGTTATGGAAATTTATTTTAATATGTCAAATAATTTTCTTATTGATTTGTATTAAGAGTATTTCACGCACATAATACATAAATACACTGAAAACATTGTTTCAAACGTGCCATTTTCTTTGTCCGCCGGTGTACCGAACCGATACGATGTGTGTTTATTCTGAACAGCAATAAAGCAAATAAGCCTGGTGCGCGGTGGGCCGAACGAACCTCACACCTCGCTTCAAAGGTTCGCATGAAAAATACACAAAACACAAACGATGCTAGGTTCGTCTTGTTACTTGAAAGTTTTTGTTTCTTTTTACCTTTTACGTCTTTTTGGACCATCTTATCAGTAACATTGTTGATTTATCAACAAGACAATGTTTTAAGACGATCGGCAATCGAATGTGGGACTTTGAGTACCTAACTAAAGATTAGTTTTAAGAGCTTTTTTCTAGGTTTCAGCTAAGTAGTAACAACTAAGTTTCAGATAAGTACAGGACAGAAAAACTGTGGTTATAGCTGTCTAAATAATAATTATATTTATTATTATCGTATATTTTTATCTCAGCTTTAGTGCTGGTAAGATTAATTGTTATTATTTTTTTAATTTTGTGTTGTTTTATATTATGTTCATTAATATTGACTGCCTGTATGCCCCCTTTGCTGCCCTCCTATTTGCGTGTTCCCGCCGACGGACAGGCACTTTACGGAGTGCTTCTCCTTCGGCGGTTGGGCGCAGCAACGTCAAGGGACCCGCTGAAAATCAGTGTCGAGGCATTCCCATGGCGTGCCCCGATTAATGCTGAGCGGGCCCCTATTTGACAGCAGGGCACAATGTTTTTCTTTTTGTAATTTGTGTAAATTTTAATGTGATGTCGCCCTTTTTGTCAAATAAAACATTTTATTATTATTATTATTATTATTTGATTGAAAAGTTTGGGAAATCTGGCAATAATCACCTAAGTCCTAGTTTCTGAAATACAGGATTCAGAATTAAACTAAAATTATTGCCTGCAAGTAGATTGAACCAAAATTGATTGTTGTTCAAGTCGTTCCTTGAACCTGTCGGTTACTACAAACGTTATAGCGAAATATTAATAGCCCTTTTACGTCGCTCGCGGCCAGAGGGCAGCGATACGCGTGCGTGATGAAACTTCTAATGCGACCGTATTCATAAACCACTTGATATCTAAATATATTTCAGCCAATACAAGTCAGTCTTAATAATGACGTATCTGTTAATAATACAATGTATATTTTTGACGGAAATAAGTTAGTAATAAAATCGTAAAAGCAAGACTGGCTTCGTTTGCTTGAATTCATAAAAGCTATTGTACAAATCTGGAAAAGTACCTATGATTGAACATGGAATAACTCGTCAATCCTTTAGGATCATTTATGATCCTTGAGGACTACGTTAAAAGACTACTACCTACATATCTATTTGTGAAGTTACTTATGTGGAAGCGATGAGATCAAACCAATAATAACACATAAAATTATGCACAAAATGTTCACAATTAATTAGTAATTTGATTGCTTACCTATGCACCAGTTGAATATCATATCGAATTAAGAACTAAGAACAATCAGGACTTGTCATTTTTAGAGTTATTTTGTATTTGAATTGTCACTGTACCATATTTCAAGAAATAAAACATTTATACTAGTAACTTAAATTGTTCAGACCTATCAACATATGAGATGCGTTTATGAATACAAGCATGAAGTGCAGCTGCAGTAGTTATTGCATCGCTCGCGTGTTTAGTCTCAGGTTGTTTGGGCTTGTTTGATTTTCGCCTAAATATGGAGCCTGCATTGTTGACGTTAGGATTGCGTTTCAGCGATGAAGTTTCTAAACCAATAGTAAAACACTCCATGGTTTATAAATATGGGATTTAATAACAAACATTATTTTTTAAAGTTGGAGAAACTCCGATATTTTAGGAACCTTTTCTGTAAAGAACTTACGAATGTACGAATTAAGTAGTAACTAATTGTTCCACATTTTTGTAAGATAGGAGTAAGTAGGTAGCTATTATGTTTTGTAAAAGAACTACGTTACCTTGTTGGTCATTTTCTGTTAAAGATTCTATCCTATAGACAAAGGTATTACTCAAAATCGTAACCTAACTTTTAAAGGGTAAAAATATTATTACATATTATCCGCAATAAAGCTCTGAATCAAGTGTTCAATAGCAAACCTAATTTATCGCTCCTCCCCTTTTCATGCTAAAATAGTCTACAGACTTTGATTGTGTCTCTACATAGTCTCGATGACTGTTGTTATTATTAGTAGTGCGCAGGAGTGGCATGCGCCGCGTCGTCTGCCGCGACAAGTGCTCGCGACGCACTGTCTGGCACTTTGAGGACATGGGCCAATCGTGTGGGGCGTTTCGTTTTAACATTGAATGTGATTGTGTTAAAGAGTATTCGTTCGTTCGTTCGTTTCAGCCGAAAGACGTCCACTGCTGGACAAAGGCCTCCCCCAAGGATTTCCACGAAGACCGATCCTGTGATCGAATCAGAAATGAGGAGATCCGTAGGAGAACCAGAGTGACTGACATAGCCCGCAGAATCGCTAAAATGAAACCTCTAATAACGAGGCTCAATTATCTTAAGATGTAATTTATTTTTAAATACGATAAGCTTAATTAAAGATTACTGATGAAAGAGATACAATAAGAGGTAGGAACACCAAGCAAGCTTGTTCTAAAGATGGATCATCATCCCCCTTATGACTCTTGATAGTTCAAAATTGGTGAAAAGAGAATGACTTCCTTACTCGTATTAATCTTTA